CAGAACCCATTCTAAAGCTATATTCTTCATGGGTAGATAGTCATCCAAAATTATCACGAATGGATGAAAGCCAGCTTATAGATGGCATGTGCTTTGCACATTTCTTTGCAGAAGTGGAGATTCCTTGGATATGGAATTGGTCGTTTATATGTGACTGGACCCCATCACATATTCCTATTCTTAAAAGAACGTATCACTGTAGATGGTGGAATGGGATCTGTCTCGAGACCAAAGTTAAAGAATTAGAAGAAATTATCCAGATAAATAAATCTCTGTTAGAGTCAAATATGACTCAAGAAGTCAAAAGGGATAATCCTATGACTAAGATGGCAAATTTAATGAGGAGAAAATATCCTCAAAGTTCTGAAGCCGAAATCAAGCAAAAATGCCTAGAATACTTTAAAAGGCAGTTCTTTGAAGCTTTTGATGAACTAGAGACTAATAGTCATGTTTCTTCTATGGAAGAAGATACTTCTGGTCTGGATCATATCCAAGATGCCCAAGATCCTGAAGACATCTGGGCAGAAATCTTTAACAACCCTCCAGACCTTAAAGATAAAAGCCCCGCTTTATAAGCAGAACAAATACTAGATTGAGCCTTGGGGAGCCATCTAGCATCTCTTTTCTTAAAGCAGCTTTATAAAGCAGCTTTCCAAAAGCCACTTTCCTTAAAGGAAGAATCTTAACGTCGCGATCAACTTTTATTGTGCATTGTGTGACGTCGCCCTCATTACTGTGTAATTAATGCGCCACCTCATCAGACGTTTCGAGAAAAGGGAAAATGTCGCTTTCAAAGGAATCTTTGGACGTCTATAAATAAGAAGCAAGGGCAGACGAAGAGGGTGTGCTTGTATGTGAGAAAAATAAAAATAAGAAGTTAGAGTGCTGAGTGCTATCAATCCTCTTGTAAAATATATCCTCTTGTAATATATTGTGGAGCATAATAAAGATATAATCTTATCTATTGGCGGGCGCAAACTGTAAGTTCTTTGCTTTCGTTTTGCTTTCGTTTTCTTGTGCTTAAATTTGGTATCAGAGCCATGTTTATTATCTGCATGTCTGCTTAAATCTCTGTTACAGTTTATCTTTTGAATATTAGCTAGTAAGAATGTAGAATATTTATATGTTCTTTTAATTCTCTTTTTAAGAGTCTAGTTTGCATGCTTATGGGACGTCTTAAAGAAGGTATAACTTCAGTTATTTTAGATATTAATTTTTCTAAAACTTCTTCAACTCTTATAAGTTGTTCACCTATTGTTTTCAAATAAATATTTGTATAGTTATTTTGCTTAACTATTTTACTTAATTCTTTCATGGGTTCTTCATTGCACTCATTAGGTTTTATAAAAGCCATTGCCTCTATATGAGAGGGAGAAACGTCTTTTAAGACAATCGGGTCTATAGGTGGATTTACTGATCTAACTAATTTACCCATAGTCGTTTTCCATTGTTTTAAATGTTCTTCTAAAACACTTATTTTTTGACTTTGTTTTAAAACATATCTTCTTAAGAACCATGGAACAAAAAATTTAATTTCTTGTTTATAGTCAAGTTCAATATAATATTTGTTAACCCAATTTAATTGGTCTTTTTTCGAAAAAATTTTAAAAAACCAATTTCGAAAATCTTTATTTTTATCAAGGTAAAATTCTATATTAAGAATTTCCCTTATAGAACTTCCTTTTTCAAAATTCATTACTTCATTCGAAAACTCATCTCCGTATTAGGAGGAGAAGCTTTATCTTTATATAAAGCATGTGGGATATTATTATCGGATATATTTATCCCTTGCACTGAGCTGGTTCTATAAGATCCAGATCTAGAGAACGAGTTTCTGGCAGATGATGCCACATCAGATATCCTGATAGTTCTTGATGGATTAAATGTTATTTCAACCTCTCCATCAGTGGTTTGGACTATTTGGTCAACATCTTGGTTAATAATTGGTGGAGGTTGTATTGCATGGGGTATAACCCAATTTTCAGGGAAATTTATTTCATCCCATTTAATCTGTCTATTCACAGCTATATTTGAAGATAAAATATTTGTTTCAACCAGAATAGTCTTGCCTGGTTTTGAATGGTTTTTAGCTTTTGGAGCTAACGTATTTAATACTTTGTAGTGAATACGATATATTATCGCAATTGTTTCGGATCCAGGAATATAATTGTATCCGTGTGTCTTTATATTAAGACTAATAGCCTCTAAGATATTTGGATCTGTTAATGAGAGGCTTAAATTTGGATATACATTAAAATAAACTAGACCGTTACATAAACTGGTCTCCATAATACCCATTAAAGATTGGGTCCAATTTAAACATCTTGAGTCTCTTAAACATACTAATAAAGAGGCGTTTAAGCCTGATAACGTCAAAGGACGAAATGCGATCTGTATAAGACCGATATGTAAATATTTATATTTATCCATATAAGGATTTACATCTGCAACTCCCAAGAGTTGTATAGTTTGTTCTTCTTTATCGACTGTAGTAGTCCTTTCTAAAGTTTTTATATTGATCAACGACTTATAGTCGAGAAATCCAATTTTATATATTTCCCTATTAGGGACATCAGGTATAGTCCACTTATTAAGGGACTCTATATCAGTTTCATATTCTGTTAATTGAGCGTTTTTGACCTTCTTCATTCCAGTATAACTGGACGGTCGAGCCGAAGTTTCCACAATATCTGTCATAAAGTTCTCTTTTTACAGATTTATGTTTTTAATATTAATCCAGTAAGGAAGTAGACTATTTATTTTTCTTTTTATTCTCTCTAAAACAATCTAGCTGAAAGCTTACACGTCTGTCAACGTCTTACACTACCCTAACCAGCCATCTCGGCAACACTGGGATTTACACAGCGCGACTTAGGTGACGTCCCATAAGCATGCAAACTAGACTCTTAAAAAGAGAATGAAAAGAACATATAAATATTCTACATTCTTACTAGTTAATATTCAAAAGATAATCTGTAATAGAGATTTAAGCAGACATGGAAATAATAAACATGGCTCTGATACCAAATTTAAAATTTAAAGCAGGAACTAAAAAGCGAAAAACTTACAGTTTACGCCCGCCAATAGATAAAATTATATCTTTATTATGCTCCACAATATATTACAAGAGGATATATTTTACAAGAGGATTGATAGCACTCAGCACTCTAACTTCTTATTTTTATTTTTCTCACATACAAGCACACCCTCTTCGTCTGCCCTTGCTTCTTATTTATAGACGTCCAAAGATTCCTTTGAAAGCGACATTTTCCCTTTTCTCGAAACGTCTGATGAAGTGGCGCATTAATTACACAGTAATGAGGGCGACGTCGCACAATGCACAGGAAAAGTTGATCGCGACGTTAAGATTCTTCCTTTAAGGAAAGTGGCTTTTGGAAAGCTGCTTTATAAAGCTGCTTTAAGAAAAGAGATGCTAGATGGCTCCTCGAGGCTCAATCTAGTATTTGTTCTGCTTATAAAGCGGGGCTTTTACCTTTAAGGTCTGGAGGGTTATTAAAGATTTCTGCCCAGATGTCTTCAGGATCTTGGGCATCTTGGATATGATCCAGACCAGGAGTATCTTCTTCCATAGAAGAAACATGACTATTAGTCTCTAGTTCATCAAAAGCTTCAAAGAACTGCCTTTTAAAGTATTCTAGGCATTTTTGCTTGATTTCGGCTTCAGAACTTTGAGGATATTTTCTCCTCATTAAATTTGTCATCTTATTCATAGGATTATCCCTTTTGACTTCTTGAGTCATATTTGACTCTAACAGAGATTTATTTCTCTGGATAATTTCTTCTAATTCTTTAACTTTGGTCTCGAGACAGATCTCATTCCACCATCTACAGTGATACGTTCTTTTAAGAATAGGAATATGTGATGGGGTCCAGTCACATATAAGCGACCAATTTCATATCCAAGGAATCTCCACTTCTGCAAAGAAATGTGCAAAGCACATGCCATCTATAAGCTGGCTTTCATCCATTCGTGATAATTTTGGATGACTATCTACCCATGAAGAATATAGCTTTAGAATGGGTTCTGGGATTATTATAATTTCAATGCCATAAGTTTCCCACCATTTATAAAACCAATTGGGAACTCCCTTTTGAAGGGTTTCAGGACAAAGCTTTATAAGCCATGTATGCTTCTGTTTTGGGTTCTGATATAAGAATAGATCAAAGAAAGCTTGCTTGTAGTCCCAATAGTTAAATTTATAAATTTCTTTTGTCTGATATAAGAATAGATCAAAGAAAGCTTGCTTGTAGTCCCAATAGTTAAATTTATAAATTTCTTTTGTAGCTTGGACTTTTACCAAAGGTAATTCTTCATTTGGGTTTATAGCCCAATTGCGAGGAAGTATGACTTCTCTAATGACACATTTGCTGAATCCAGGAGGAACAGAATGATTTTCTGTAGCCCAAAAATGGGTTATTTCCATTCCCTTTTGACTTAATAAAGTCCTCATCCATGCTCTTGATTTTAAAGAAAGAGTAGGATAATATGTATCATGAAGATATCGTTGCCGAATTGTTTCTGGCTCTTGCATTAAAGTAATATCTTCTGGTTCTAAATATAGAACTATATCTGTATGAGATTTTTCGAACCATTTAGTTTCTTCTTTTACTATATTAGTAAAAGGTTCAGGGGTATTTTCCTGTATATATATATATATATATATATATTGAAGACAGACACACGACCTAAAGTTAAAAATTCCTTATTAAAAAATAGAGCTCAAACGCTACATCGATTCAACCCAACATCTATTCTATTAAGCCAACTTCCTAGCCTAATTAAGTATATGCAAAAGGGTTTGCCGGCTACTAAGCCTGCACAGACCTTTGAGAGATGTATGCACACATGTACACATAATGAGAAGAGAAAGAACATAGTTGAAACATGACATAGTTAATTAATTTTTTGAACACATGAAGAATAGACCATGCAGTAAAAACATCAAGAGCAACATTTCCATCTATCAGAATGTACTCACCTTACCACTAACATATACACGATCTCCCTCTTTGTACTTTGATTGGAGACTACTCAAAAAAGGTTGATACGTAAATCGAGTACCACGGAAGAATTTCTTCAGATGCAAATAAATTTTCTTTCTCCCACCACCAGCATATTCCTCACCATTAATTTCAGAAACCAGTTCCTTATCTGGTACCTCACAACCAACAACAACCTCTAGGAATGAGAAGGAAGGGCCAGCCCGAATTCCCCTATTGAAGCAATAGGAAAATCACAATTTAAGTCTACAAAGAGCCACTTGCAAGAATTTCACCCAACATTTCACACGGAATAAAGTATAAATGAAAATTTGAAATTGCAGTGGCATTCTCTTTTTTGCTAGTAGCAGAGTTTCAGCATAATTACCAATACTAGTTTAACTTATTATTCAATAAAATTAGAACCAATACAATAATTAAAAAAGAATAGAAATTACCAGGCTGAAATGTCCTATCATGAATTGAACTTGGAACAATTTATTTCACATCAATTTTAAATCATCAGCCTCAGTATTGGTTTAGTTTTACTGAGGGCAAAATAATGTACTCAATGAAGTAAGAAAAATGACAAGCAGCAACATTGCTAACTTCAAAATTTGTGAAGAAATTAACTCACAGAGTTGCAGAGGGATAATTAGCTTTCTTAATATAACTACCTGGAAGAAAGAACAGTGCCAACAAAGATCAGGTAGTGCCCATCTTCAATTGCACCTTGAGCATTTTGCAGGTCAGCATAAGACCGAGGAAAATGGTGTAGCAGTTTTCTCACCTGCCCAAAAGTTGAAAGATCATATTTTTCTCATGGTTTGATCATTAGAACTTCATATGGTTCTGACTTAACCTAGAGGCATAACAACTCACCGTGTGGAAACCACTATCTTCAAGTTGGCGACATTGCCTGCTGGTTGCATTTGGCAGACATCGGACAGTATTGTCTAAATTGTCTAAAAGAGGGTCTGTTGACAGGCTACTTCCTGCGAACTTAATGCATTCAGCTGCAGAAGACTTCTTATAATTGACTTCGGCATCTGATTTTGTTTCGCTATCTAAACTTTCTGTTGGAGAATCATATAGCAACTTATAGGAACTGTTATCGTCAGAATCTGGAGAACTTATATTAGAGATGGGGCCACCTATAAACTGAAAAGCATCGCCAATTCCATTAGCTTGAGACCAATTTCCACTGACAGAGTATGGGAAGTAGCTATTGTAGCTTACCAGTAACAATGGAATTTAACTCGTTCCTGCCTGATGAGTATACCTCATCATATAGTTCAATAACCGATGAATCGCCCAAATTGATGCATGGAAATCTGCTACGTGCTAATGTGAAATCAAAATCCTCCCCCATGTCTTCTACTTCTACCTTTGAGTCTTTTCTGAATTTTTCTTGCTCAACTAAATCTTGAACGCTGTTATAACCCATTAAAACTGAAACCTGAAACAAAGAATACCTGGTGAAAATCTTGTGAACTCAAAAGATGACAAATCCCCACTTGTTATACCCAAAAAGTACTTTGTAAAAAGAGTAAGTATCATTTTTGTCTAAAATATCATGGTGCGTCTTGCAATGCATTGCAGCTAAATTTCATTGATTTTGTCATATTCAAATAATGCTTTGCAGTTAATTTTCATCGACCTTGTTATTCTTCAGATTTATTTGAATTTATCTGAGTCATGGGATTGCATATCATCTGTGTGTACGTGATTTATCTACATTGATCAGTTAACATCCTTTTTGTATACTCCTGCATCATAACTCATAAGACTGCTAAAATGTATTGTTACGCTATTTCCATAATCTGAATGAGACTAGCTATAGTTTTAAATGCATTAACGTAAATTAATGACAATGAACACTTGAACAGCCAAATGATGGGCTTGTTCTAAAGTCATACCTGTATATTTTTACTCCCAAATCTTTTCTCATTTGAATGAGATACAGAAATATTAATAACCTATAATTTTTATCTATCCATTATCAAGTAAAGGTACAACAGACCAATGTATTTTAGAATATGCAATACCATACATGAGGCAGAAGTACCAATAACCTAGAAGTTTATATATCTATTATTAATAAAGATATAAAAAACCAATTATTTTACAATATGCAATACTATGCATGTGTACTTGTGCAGAGTACACTTTTCTTCACCAAAAAGCAGCAGCAATGCCACAAAATTATACCAAGCGCACCCACTTATTTCACCAGCAGGCAAAGCAGAACTGAATGACTAATGAGCTTGAATAACATGTAGAAACAAACCAAATGACAGGTGATCACTAAAAATCAAGACCATCACCTTGTTCAAAAACTTTGACCTCTCCGAAATGTTTGCTTTGCTGTAGCCACTCAATTCTTCTAACAAGTTCTGACTACACCATTTTGAAAGATTTGAATGGAGAAAGTTACTAAACCTGCAATAAGTATCATGGCAAATGGGCAATGCTGCTCATGACTTGAAAGTCAATTTTGTGAAAATCTATCCAAGATTACTTCATACCTCATAGTCCTATAGTACATATTACGGCATCCACTCCGAACTTCAAAAGATATTGCACTTGTTAAATGACTCTCATTAAAAGCCTAACAGAAGGTAATTCAATCCATCAGGATGCACATATTCATGGGCAAAATTACCATATTGGTATATTTTGTTGACCCTTAGTGACACATTGGTATATTTTCTTACTCCAGCGACAAGTTAGAATATTATGTGGATTACAGCGACAAATTAGCCTATATTTTGGTCGGAGCCAAAATTCCAGCCAAATTGAGTCATGTGACCCCCCGCATGTAGCTGATGTGGATTAAGTGGGTTTATGTGGTAGGGTAACTGGAAAAAAAACACGACACCCCACCCCCACCCCCCAAGAAAATCTCTATTTTCCCTCTTTTTCTCTATTCATGTGAGGGAGGGGAAGAATCTTCCAAAAATTGCAGAAATTCCCCTTGTGCATAATGTTATTTAATGGGTTCGAAATATTGATTTGGCCATAACATGGTTGATTTGTCTAAATTAGGGTTTTTCATCCCATTGAGCAATTAGTTTGCTTCTTCCATGCTCATACTTGAGCCTAACCTTAAGCAAGAGCTTGAGGATAAAGAATCTAACCCCAACTTCAATTGTCCTAGCCAATTTAATGCTAGGAGGAAGAACCCAAAATTCCTAATTTTGACCCTAATTTTAAGCCCTAATGTTTGAAAAAACCTCTTTTAGCATTATAATTAATCCCAATTACCGCCACGTTGGCAGCCATGTGGACCACACGTGAGGATGATGTGACTCAATTTGGCCTGAATGCTGGCTCCAGCCAAAATATAAGCTCATTTGTTGCTGTAGTCCACATAATATACCAACTTGTCGCCGGAGTAAGAAAACATACTAATGTATCACTAAGGGTCAATCTGATAAATTTGCCCATATTCTTACACAAAAATGCTTTATAAATTTAGAAAAATATAGATCACAGGAGAGGGCTAAGCTTAAAAGTAGGAAGAGAAAGCAATGATACCAACCATACACGGATATTTACTTTTGGGGTTTTTTCCCCGATAAAGTATTCATGAACAGTAAATTTGAGGTCGGAAATAGTAATCATCCAATCTTTTGTTTTTTAACTGAAGTACAAATCAAAGTTGAAGTGGCCGAGAAAAATTTCTCCAAATAAACATGAATCTGCAAATAGGAAGCATGCTAACCTCTATCCGAACTATAGTCTACAGACTACGGTGTCTATGTTTCAATCTGTGAATTTGCATCTGTAATTTTGGATGGATGCCATAGATAAATTGTGATATAACAAAATATTAGTCCACCACAAGTCGGTCCTATCTATTACGAGCCACCCCCACCCCCACCCCACCCCCACCCCCCGCCCCGCGTAAACATTTCTATGTAAAGCTAAGATCAAACCACACTGGTTTGAACAATGCATTCAACATTTCTATGTCTTCCACGAATCTCATTCTCACATATATCAGGTTTATAGGATGTTGCAATACCATTGCTGTATTATAATGAAAAATACCAACACATGTGATATTCATCACAAGTAAAAGATAGATTTCCCTACAGATGTGGCATTCATCAACACATTCTTTTTCCAAAATCAACCCTCTGTAATGTAATAATAGACGAGGTGGCACTAACTGTAGTGGGAGAGAGAATAGCAGTGACAACAACGATAGGAGTGATGTGATGTAAGCGATGAATTCATGAAGCACACGCAGGGGAGGCGGGTCAAACTAGGTCCCAGATGAGAAGTTGATTTTATCGCAAAGAAACAACTATACCTTCCGATCCTAAAGGCAGGTTCTAACTTACAATATATGAAAATCACTTATCTCGATGAGATGAAGGCAACATGACTGGCAAATTCCGAAGATTCCAACCAGATTGACAGATTTTTTAAATTCCAACACAAGTCCCTTAGTTTAGCAGTTTTTCTCTATTTTTAGTAATAAAGTTAAAGAGTCTGTTTGGATTAGGAAATGAATGTGGAGTGAACTCTGATTTGACCGAATAGTTCCTCAATCATAAAGAGTTCTTAGAGGTAGTTTTTGCTACTTTTTATTTTTAGTAATTTCAGTCCTATTAGGAATCTGCTTTGTCTCTCTATTTAAGAAGAGTATTGTAAACTGTAGAGGCATTACTTTTTTCTTTATCAATAATATTCGCATTCTCATACTTCTTCGTGGCTTCAAAAGCTTATTTTCTTCGTGGATTCGAAGAGCACTTTGGTGCATTCCCAGGTTTTCACTTCCACGCTACATCAAAATGGTGACAGTCACGAGTGGCAAGGACCTGACAATGATGTTGACAAAGAGAAACGGCCAAATAGCGAACTTACAAAGATGTTCCTAAAAGTATAGTTGCTTATGGAACCTACTAGATGTGAACATAGGATAGCCATCCCTCACGAAGTGTACATTCCACAAAGCAAAAGAACATGATGCTAATTAGAATCTAACATTCTCAGGAACGTTAAGTAATCTTACTGAATGCACATGGGAATCTTGGATTCCCCAAGTGGATTCTCACATACCAAAAGCAACTAATGGGGATATGAAGTAATCCTATAAGAGATGATCAATGGAAAAGAAACAGAAGAGGAATTTTAAAAGCTCAGCGGGGTTTGTTCAACTCGCCTTAACGTTCAGGGGAGCTTTGTGAAATTTACCCCAAAAATTCAATTGTACAACAGAGCAAAAAAAATATAATTGAGGCCCAAAAATTAATAATAACAATAATAATAATTGAAATCTTACCTTGCAACATGCATGTATAGCACCAGCGGTTGCATTTGGAGGTACAATCATCAACCTCATCTGTAGAATGCATATAAATTGAATTAAAAGAAATAAAAATGAATGAAAATTTTAACATTTTCATTACATAAGTAAAGTTTACTCCGGTAACTCGCTATTACAAAATAAAGGGACAAAAAAGTAAGCTCTTTTATTGAAATTTTCCAAAAAAAAAAAATGGCCGCATCAGATTTCTGCAGCATTAAGATCCTATTTCTTTCAATAAACCTCAATCAAACAAGAAATCATTCAGATGTTACGATGAAATTGAAGGATAAGATTCTGAATACTGACAGCAACTAGGATTTTTCGAGGAATTTCGCGAGATCGCCTGAAAACCGTAGAGCCGTTGTGCGGAGACAAAGGCTGCCTGTACGGAACTCCGATTTCTGGAGACAATTTTTTTTTCCGGGATATAGATTCTAGAAATTAATACATTTTATGGGCCTTCTCAATAAAGGCCCACGAAATTTTTTGTTTGTTTCGGGGGCTGTGACTGGGGTTCAACTCATCTGGCCAATTAGAAACCAGGTTTTTATAATTTTAAGAGAACAAGATATCTTTTTTGGAAATTACAGAAAATTTCTTCAAGTTTCACAGCTAGCACCACCTTCATCCCTCCTTTTGATTTTTCCATCAAATAAGGGGGTGTTTGTTTTAAATCTTATAATTTTAGGATATGGATTTCACCATGAGATTTGAAATCCATAGATTTTTTAACAATGGTTGTGATTTCTAAAATGTTGTTTGTTTCATCAATATTTTAGGATAAGTAATCCTATAATTTGTATTTTTATTTGTTTCAAACTCAAATTGTGTAGCATTAAAAATTTTAGAATTTGAAATTTAGCCTAAATCCTCTCTCAAAGAGGGGATTTCACAAATGCTATAATATATTAGTTTCTTATTATTTGGGTATTCAATATCCCAAAATTTATTTTGAATCAAACAAATATTATGGAATCCATAAACTCAAAAAAAAACCCACTTTTTCATCCTAGAATTTCTAATCCACCCTATATCCCACAAAAAAAAATTGAAACAAACACCCCCTAAGGGTCGCATGGGTATCATATTACCCTTATTATGAGACATCTTTTCTTAAGGAAACAAATAAAAATAACGGGGGTTAGCTTTTAAAGCTGCAAGGGGTTTGGCCTCCTTTTTTTTCTTTTTCTTGGTTGTTGGCTACTTTTTTGGCCTTGGTAATGCAGAAGCTATATAAACTCTTGGGATGCGTTTGGCAAGAGGCTAAATGAAGGGTTAAGGGGGTTTACCTCTTCATTAGCCCGCCAAACAGAAAAAAAAAGACAAAGGGTTAACAAACCCGGACGTGAGCACAACAACCCCTTTAACCCGTCAAAAGAAGGGTTAACAATTCCTTGTAAGAAGGCAAAACAAGGCTTATTCCGCCTTCTCACGCTAGGGTAGGAAGCAAAATTTAGGAAAAATCCTCATCTGGATCTTGTACGGGTAGGCGGCGGAGTTCGGCAGGGAATTAGGGGAATTAGGCAGCAGAATTTGGAGGGAAAGAAGTAGAGGGAAATTTTTACATGAAAATTTAGCGGGACTAGGGAACGAAATTAGGGTAAAATTCCCCCCGAATTGTTTCATAGTAGGATTTTCTCAGAATATACTCAGACGGTGGCTAATCTCAAGTGACGGGAGAAGCTCGCATCGGTCTCCTCCGACGGCGACGGAGCTGTTGTTGTGGCGGTACCTGGCGGTGGCGCACTTACAGATGCGCCTGCTGAGGCTAAGAAGGAGGAGAAGGAAGAGATCGTGGAGGAAGAGGACGAGGTAAGATTTATCTATCAATTTGGTCCATTTTTATTATAATTTATTGTTTTTGTGTATTTTGTCGATTAATTTGGTTTTTTTGTTTCTTTATTTTTTTCAATTGTAGGACATGTGCTTTAGTTTGTTCGATTGAGGTTATGGCGATTTGCTATTGCAGGCTCACGATACCATGAAGGACTTTTAGTTGTTAGATGTTGATGGTTAGGTTTAGATTTTGACAGCGTAGTTTTAGAATAAAAAAGAAAATTAGTCTTTTGAATTTTGAGTTTAATTTTTGGGGTTGTTTTTCATGATATCAAGTAGAAATACGATGAAGATATTGGTTTGTATTTTGGATATAAGAACTTAAATTAGTTTATGGTTTAACGCTTTTGTCATACCTTATAACATAATTCTATTTGGATGTAGTTGAATCCTAACCCTGGATTATTTACATATAATAATCACCGCATGATTTTGTGAGCTTGAGTAAAGCATCAACTGAGCGAATCTGCTATGCAATGGCAATAATAATCGAATTAATATGCTTCATTCATTATTAGCTATAACATTCACTATTTACTATTTCCTTTGACAATGATCAGTACAGACACATTGGAGTAAGTTTAAAAAAAATTGTTCCAACTGCTTCTTTCCTGTTGTTTCTTAGTGCATGAGGGAAACATAGCATGGATATTCTTAAGGTTGATGGTAGTTGCTAGTTTTACTTAACTTTCGAAGGAGGTTTTTTTGTAGTGGTTCTGCATGATAACCTATCATTCTGATGGGAACAGTCTAGACGATAACCATAATGAAAATGCACAACTTTAATATTTTATTGTATCTGCTATAGGTGCGTAGTGTAGGCATCGAAAATTGCCTATAGGTCTCCACGAACAGTTTCAGTGTTAAAGAGCAACGATGAACGTCACTATCCGATCCACAGGAGTTCGATAGACGTCGATGAACGATTGAAGTGAATCGACGAACTACGTGAGCTGATAGGATTTCGGAATAGCGAAGGCACGGGCCCATCGGGAACCCTGCGATGTTCACGAAAAGAACAATGACCTTCATGTCTCGATCACTCTACAGATAATCCAACCATCGGAGCGGATCGATCTCTTCGTCAAGCTTCCAACGCACTTGGAATCACTCAAATCCGAGTTCGGACAAAGAATATACGGTGAAAACAATCAAACATACGCAACGGAGCATCTCAGGCTGAACTGGGACACCCGGGGTGTCTCGGGAAAGTCGGAACACCCCAGGGGTATCTAGGCAAAGCCTTGTTTTGGAGGTGTCCCAACGCCCTAGGTGCCCTCTTGCCTATAAATAGGAACCTTAGGGCCTCATTTTGGAGGATCTGGATTTTTTGGAGAGTTGGCGAAGCCCTGCTGCAGTGAAGAGTGGTCGAGCGCTTCAACACAAGGGAGTTCCTCATCACCCGCATCCGTTCCTTAGCATTACCCTTTAGCCGAGATAGGCGCTTCAAGCTTCTAGATCCCCTCGCGGATCGACGAAGCTCTGCCCGATTTTTCTGGATCAGATCTGATTGCTAGGTAGTCCACGGATATCGACGTCCCCGTCACAGGCCAAAGACCCATGCAAGCAAGAGACGATAAATGGACCTTGCGTTTATTTTTAAGAAAGTTGTAATTTTTATTTTTGTCATTTGAATTCATTTGTAAACGATTAAAGTACTAATGAAATCAATGATGAAGGCAACTTTCAACGAAAACAAGCTGGCGACCACAGTGGGAGCCAACGGCCTCGCTTCCGAGGCCGTCGTGACGTAACCGGCATTCAAGATCCGGGTGAATGAAGAAATCGAATACGAGTTCGATCAGCAAAAGTTTGAAGAGTACCTCTCTTCCTCCTCCTCTAGATCCGCCTCTCCAAACAGGCGTAGGAAGACTTCATCTTCCAGAAATGCTCGCGGGATATCCTGCTCTAAGATCCAAGATCCCGTCGCCGTTGCTGCGCCCGTGCCCCGTGACATCCCGGCGGCATCCAAAGAGGTCGAGGCTGCAGATCCAGATCTCCCTTCCGCCACAAAGGCGACTGTCGAAGGTGCTCTAGCTGTGTCAAAGAGGGCACGCCAAAGACGGCGCCAACGCCTTGCACGACAACTGGCCAAGGCCGCAGAATCGATGGACAGGATCCGCTACAATGAAGATCTCAAGTCCAGACAGCGCGAAGAGCAACAACGGCACATAACCAACTCCTCCTCCAAGGCAGAAATGAACGAATGGGTTCGTGTCACGAGGACTCGCTCAACCCTCGAAGAGCGAATCAAGAAACGCCGCGCATTGCTTGCGCATGCCCGAGTCCTTCTGCAGAAAGCGGAGGAGATGCAGAAAGAAGAGACGGTCAAGAATCCGTCAAAACACAAGCAGGTGTGGGTGCTAAAGGCAAAGCCGGCGCCTAAGACAAGAGTGGACGATATTGTTGTCCAACCTTCATCAAATCCAGATCCCGTTCCCCTTGCCCCCGCACCTCCGGCAGAGTCAGGTAAGAACATAGATCCTTCAAGAGCCAGAGTTCCGTTGAAAGGTCGTCTCGGTCCCTTAGCGGAGAACCGAGGTAAAGCACCTGTCAAGGAGCGATTGGGTCCGTTGAAAGGTCCCCAAATGACGAACCAGACTGGGGGTTGTGTTAATCCCTCCAAGAAAGATAACAAAGGGAAAGCCCCTGTCATCGACCGCATTGGATTGCGTGTCGAAGTTCAAGAGCCCGTTAAGTTTTTACGCTCGCAAAAGCGTAGACTTGAACGAGTGACTTCTGAAAACGCTAATAAAGCGTCATATCCCCAGAGGGAAACACATTCGTCTGATGATGATTGTGTTATACCTGGGAAGACATGCCAACACTCTATGGGTTGCTCCAGTTATCAAACTGATGAGTTGTACTATAGAGCTGGGGGTGCGAGTAAGTCTCGAAAGAGAGATGCTCGAGACACGGAACCTCATTCTCCGTGTGCCGACATCATCAGGGCGGTGTTGTCAGAATGCTGCTGTTCTAAAACCCCAAAGAGAGTCTCGGTATTCGAGAGGATTTCCAAGCCAAGGCGTTTTCGTGGGAAGAAATTCGTTCGCCAAGAGGACGAATTACTAGAAGTATCTGTTAATATGACTGGCAGAGGCAAATCGACACGACCCTCTAGCTCAGATCAACTTGCCGAAGCGTCCCAGTACATGACTCGATTGCGGTCAGGGATCAATAGGCGAAAGAACTACCAAAGGATGCAAAAAGGACTTCCTTCGGAAGAGGAGGCGTCAGATGCTGATTCAGACTCCTACTCGGCTATAGCATCCGATGACACGGCGTCTAGTGCGGGGCAACCTTACGAGTCACTCATGATCAGCGCCGAACAAGTAACCAAGATGCTTGAAGATGCCCTGGCTAGGCAGAAGGAAAGTTTCAAGTTTGAGATGGAGATGGCCATGCAGCAAATGAGAGAGATGCATGACCAGCAAATCGCGGCACTGACAAGTCACCAAGGAGAACCCCCTCGACACAATAATCAGAATCAAGATGAGAATGAACGGGAAGGGAATAATGTCAACATAAATATCCCTCCTGTCAACAACGACAATGGAAGTGGTCCCGTAGATGATA